CACTCAAATATGCTTACTTGAAGGTGAAGGTGCTTAGGTATGTCCTTCAGGCCATATTGGCAGGGATGAACTTGTAAGATCAAGCAGGCAGGTTGTTTACATCAGTGTTTCCCAGAGAAACAAAACACCTGGAACATTTACTGGTACATTTTACAAAGCAGCAAACCCAGTCCCTCCCATGTGAGGCCTCCTAAGGCAAAAGCTCCCCTCTCAGGTAAATAAAGCTGTCCTGTTCTTAGATATTTGCATTTTCCCTTTGCCTTTCCCCCAGAATACATGTCTTTTCCCACAGCACAGCCACCCAAGACATTCTGTTCAGAGCTGATCTGTGAAATTCAACCACAAGTTTGGGTCTTTTCCAGCTGATCAGCACCTGCAGCTTGTGCCTCCCCAGCTGCACTCCTCTCCACCAGCACAAGAGCCAAATTCTCCCTCTCTCACAAGAGATTTTATTTCAGCTGTCCCCATTTCCAGGTCTGCTAGCTATTAATGACTATATGAAAAATGAGTATCACTTCCACCATTTTAGAGATGGAGGCATTGTTGGCTGATACTGATCCAAATAAAAGCTTGCGTTTACTATTTAGTACTGTAAAACAATTTCCACTTTCATACTGAAACACAATATAAAAAGCTGAAAAGGGTGAGGCTCCCAGCAGTAAGAGTAGAGTAAATAAAGACTGAAGTGACTCACTTTTTCATATGTGGGATCTCCTTGGCAGAAATCAGTGATCTTTCTTTTATTTGCTTTAGTTCAATGATTAGCTTTTTCAAAACTGAAAAAAACCCAAACATGTAAAACAGTAAGACTTCCCTTTTCTACTCATCAGAGTAGGGACAACATGGGCCCTTTCCGGAAGCTATCAGGAGAACTGGCTACCCTGCATTTGGAGAAGGCTGAGGCTCTTAATGACTTCTTTGCCTCAGTCTTCACTGGCAAATGCTCTGAGCACAACACCCTGTTGTGTTGGCAGACACAGGGACTGTGAGAATGAAGACCTTAGGCCCAGTGTAGGAGAGGATCTGGTTCAAGGCCATCTTAAGAACCTGAACGTGCACAAGTTTATGGGTCCTGATGAAATCCATCCGCAGGTCCTGAAGGAGCTGGCAAATGAAGCTCCTAAGCCACTGCCCATCATATTTGAAAAATCATGGCAGCCAGGTGAAGCTCCCGACAACTGGAAGAAGGAAATATAACCCCAGTTTTCAAGAAGGGGAAAATGGATGACCCAGGGAACTACAGACCAGTCAGTGTCACCTCTGTGCCTGGCAAAATCTTGAAGCAGATTCTCCTGGAAGGCATGCTAAGGCACATGAAAAACAACAAGGTGCTTGGTGACAGCCAGCATGGCTTCACTAAGCGGAAATCCCGCCTCACCAATTTGGTGGCCTTCTAAGATGGGGCTACAGAACTGATGGAAATGGGTAGAGCAGTTAATGTCATCTATCTGAACTTCTGCAAAGTGTTCGACACTGTCCCACAAGAAATCCTTGTCTCGAAATCAGAGAGACATCAATTTGATGGATGGACTACTCAGTAGATAAAGAACTGTCTGGATGGCCACATGCAAAGAGTTGTGGTCAATGGCTCAGTGTCCGGCTGGAGACCAGTAACGAGTGGTGTCCCTCAGGGTCGGTGTTGGGACGGATCTTGTTCAACATCTTTGTTGCTGACATGGACAGTGGGATTGAGTGCACCCTCAGCAAGTTTGCCGATGACACCAAGCTGTGTGGTTCGGTTGATATGCTGGAGGGAAGGAATGACATCCAGAGGGATTTCGACGCGCTTGTGAGGTGGGGTGGTGCCAACCTTATGAACTTTAACCATGTCAAGTGCAAAGTCCTACACCTGGGTTGGAACAATCCCAGGCACAGCTACAGGTTGGGTAGAGAAGAGATTCAGAGCAGCCTAGGGAGAAGGAGTTGGGGGTGTTGGTAGATGAGAAACTTAACATGAGCCAGCTTCAGCGGGAGCTCACAGCCCAGAAAGCCAAGTGGTGGTCATACATCCTGGGCTGCATCAAAAGGAACATGACCAGCAGGTCAAAGGAGGTGATCCTCCCCCTCTGCTCTTGTGAGACCTCATTTAGAGTATTGTGTACAGTTCTGGTTTCCTTAACGTAAAACTGACATGGAACTGTTGGAACAAGTCCAGAGAAGGGCCACGAGGACAATCAGGGGACTGGAGCACCTCCCGTATGAAGATAGGCTGAGAAAGTTGAGGCTGTTCAGCCTGGAGAAGAGAAGGCTGCATGGAGACCTCATAGCAGCCTTCCAGTGTCTGAAGGGGGCCTATAATGATGCTGGGGAGAGACTCTTCTTTAGGGACTGTAGTGATAGGACAAGGGGTAATGGGTTAAAACATAAACAGGGGAAGTTTAGATTGGATATAAGGAAGAAGTTCTTTACTGTGAGGGTGGTGAAGCCCTGGAATGGGTTGCCCAAGGAAGCTGTGAATGCTCCATCCCTGCCAGTGTTCAAGGTCAGGTTTGACAGAGCCTTGGGTGACATGGTTTAGTGTGAGGTGTCCCTGCCCATGGCAGGGGGGTTGGAACTAGATGATCTTAAAGTCCTTTCCAACCCTAACTATTCTATGATTCTATCTATGAGCAAAAATATATAAATTGTTTGGGTCCTTTTTGGTCCTAAACATGTAAGAGAAATTGAAAATAAAAGAAAAAAAAAAAACCCTACTGAAATCCTTAATTGTAGATCAAAATGTTTTTCATTTAGTAAAGGACTTTCCAAAGATTTTAACAAAGGTGTTGATACAGGTTTTCTTTGGGATCCGGCATTTTTAGCTCCACACTTTTTTTTATTAGCTATAGTGCTGGTTTTCTATGTGTTAATTCACTCTAATCATCTTCAGGAGACAACATAAAAAAAACCTAATTAAAAAAATATATATATGCAAGAAATGGCTTTTGATGTTTCCTCACAAAATAAAAGATTGAATAACAATCTACATGAATGTGTTAAAATAGATATTTGTTGACCCATGTGTATACCTTACCCTCCTGTTCAGCAAAGACATACCAAGTCTAAGGTGATATTCCACATAGCTGCTAAATCAGGTCTTAATGGTTAACTGTAAGGATTAACCCATCTTTACACAGCAAAAATGTTGCAGTGAAAAAAAAAAGAAAGTAAAATTAAAATTCATTATGTAAATCACCATTTTGTGCGTGAAGATATAAACCTGATTAAGACTAGTTATCTAAGTTACTTGATTTCAGTCAAGACACTTACAATGAAATTATTTTTTTCTCAGAAATTCCACAATTGCTGAGTGAAAAAAAAACAAAAATAAGTTAATAATAACAGAAACTGTAGCTAGGACACTAAGGAGAAAGAGACTAGGCCAAAAATATGAAAGTTCCATTTGTCACTTACACTGTGCCTATGCCCATAAACTGCTGATTTGCCTTAAAATCTGTTTAAAATGGACCTTCTGAGAGAATAGTTGTGTTTGAATTGAACTATCTTACCAAACTGAAAATATTTAAAACATTATTTTTTTTTATCTTCTCCTCTTAAATCCAGTAGTTTAATATATAATTACTTCCTGGGACCAGAACCATTTATTAAATACCTCTCTCATCTAGTGTTACACATGCTTTCCTAGAGCCATCCACACCTCAGCTGGCTGCATTCTCATGTTAACATCAGACCACTATTTTAACAGTTAGGACAGAGGCAGTATTTGAAATATAATACTATTGCAAGAGCAGGATAAATTGGTCTGCTTATCCTTTTATTGGAGTAGTTTAGAAAAAAAAAAATACTTAAAAAGTGGAGAAAGAAGAGAGCCCCTTTTGCAATGAGGAAAATTCATTCTGTGTGCTGAGCAACCCTATCCATGTGGCGTAGGAAAAAGAGGAGAGACATTTTAAAGAGCAGACAAGTGTACTTCATGGATTTCCACAGGGAGTCACTGACAGAGAGGCGTCCTTGGAATTGCCCATCTTTCATGGCATCTTCTGCAAACCCTGTCAGCCTGTGCCTGGCTACTTGGTTTCAAACTGGGCCAAGAGAGAGAGAATGAAGAGCATAGGAGCAGAGCACTTGGGTTGGGTTTGCCTGTCACTTGACAGGAGAGGTGATCAAATGAGGTCTGTCCTGGAACACCCCACCACTGGTATTGCTAGGAAGAAAAAGTAACACAAACTTTAAATGCCAAGCTGTTAACATCCTGAAAGGCTTTAGTGTCTGACTGACTGGAAAGTTGCTTTATCAAAACTGTGCTCAGGCATTGGAACAGGTTGCCCAGGGAAGCGGCGGAGTCACCATCCCTGGAAGTGTTCAAAATCCACACAGATGAGGCCTTTAGTGACATGGTTTAGTGGTGGTCTTGGCAGTCCTGGGTGCAGAGCTCTTGGGGGAGGTTTGCCTCTGAGGAACAGGTCCCCAGACACCCCATGATGCACCAGGAGACAATGGAGGGAACTCACCTGCTAGATGGCATGTCCTGGGTCCAAGCTTGGTGCAGCGGCTCTTCCACTCCAGCAGTACTGGCAGCAGTGGGCACTCCTAATCACGCTGATGTGAGCTACAGGCAGCAATGCTGAGAACACCCAGGGGAGCAATGGGGCAGACTAACATTTCAGAGGTATAGTCCCTGCCTCCTTCTTACAAGACACCACTAATGGCAACTGTGAGCAGCACAGTCGCACCCAGACTGTCGGGTTGAGTCATACACTTTGGTGTTTGAGGAAAATCGGGGCTGGAAAGCCCGGGTGGGAAAACAGGCAGCCAAGACCTGTGGTGTCCCTGGCAGCACAAACATATCACAATGTCCTGTGGCATTCAAGGGGACCCCAGTAAAGACGTGGAAACAGTACCCTCACTTCAATGCCCTCACAGGGCAGTACACGCACACTCCTAACACAATAGCACAGCCTGGGTCTAGCATCCAACTCCATCCCATATTGCACAGCAGTGTTTAAGAGCCCTTCTACATGTGAAGTCTTGAATGTAGCAATGAAACCATAAACCAAAAACACAGATACCAGACCTTTATTAGATATTTCACTGGAGAAACTTCACAAAGAAACTGGATTTTATATTACTCTTTTTCTACACCAAATACACATTCTTGCCAAAAAAATTCACATTTGCTATACAGAACTGTAGCCATTTTTTACACAACATTTATTAAAGTACCACTGAATCCTAAAAAAGAGAAGGTGCAGCTCTGTGAACCTTTGTGGGCACAACACACAAGGAGCTCCGTAATCAGTGTTATATAATCATTCTTCCCACCACAACAGAGAAAAGTCATTCAAATGCATTAATGCTCACAGGAAATAAGAAGACTTCTGTACATAGACACTGAATTGTGTCAGGAGGCAGTGTGGCAATAACATCTTAATCATCTACATCACCTACATCACCTAATCACCTAAGCACCTACATGACCCTGAAGCTACTCATGACTGAGGCACCCAAAAACTTAACAACTGTCCTGACAAGCCCCGGGGATTTCTTCATTTTCTTTTTTGAATTATATTTTTAATCATGTATTTTTAGATTTAACATATATTTAATAAGCCAAGATTCTGCTTTAAAGATCCCAGCTTCACAACAAAACTGACTTCAGCTACCCAAGGAGTCTCTCCTGATCAAATTGGCTTTGTAAGGACCCGGCGCTGAAAGGAGAGACTAGTATGTGTCATCTCACTGCAGAAAAAAAGCTTAAATGTATCTCCATTTTAGGACATACTCACTGGGATATCATCCAATCTGCTTTTAATTTGGAGGGAGAAAGTTTATAACTGAATTCTCATAGCCTAAGAGGACAATGGGTACATAACTTGAGATTGTGGGTATAAACCATCCTGGGACACCAGGTATGGGGCACTCCATCTTTTAGCCCTGTACTTAACACCTTTTAAGGACCTGTGGTTTAAGGACCTACTTTACTGAGGACAGCAAACCTATAATACTTTGAGCAGTGTTGCTCACAGCTGGCAGTTAAAGGAATGTGTACACAGTTGTTGAGATAAGGAGCACTGACTGGAGGCAAAGGAGAAGAGTGGGAAGGTGTTGTATTTTAACTACACAAAGATAATAGAAGAGGGTGTGAAGCCAGGTAGGCTAGGCATGCTCTGCCTACTCTGTCCAAACAGCCAGACACAAGATAGACCCTTTTAATCATCTGTGTTATCTGAAAGACATATCTGAAAGATATTATCTGAAATAATCTCAGACAGAAACCATGAAGGGAGATCTAGACCCGGCTGTGGAAATTGTGGAGGGGTCTTACATGTGGGGAATGTAGAGTTTCCTAAGCAGAACACTAGGTCTTGCCAGCCACTGGGAAATTATGATATCTTTTTTATTAATCAAAGCTGCCATGGTTCTGAAAGCAGAATGCTGTATGTGTGCAAGCCAGCCTAGGCTGATTAGCCTCTGAAATTTATAATTAAGGATTTTTACAGTCCAATGTAGACACTAACAGAGATCAAAACTCTTCCTGTGAATTTACAGCTATGTTCCAGCACAGGACAAAAGAAGTGTTGCATAGCATCCAGGTACGTCCCCAAAGCCAGGGTACCAGCGCTCTCCTATCATGATTGTATCACAGAATATGAAGTTTAGCACATTTGCCTGCATGATCACAACTGCCACAGGCATCAGCTGGAACTGTGTGTGCACAGAAGTGATTTGATATGCATCAGTCTGGAAACCATGTCTTTGCCAACTTGTATGTTCAAGACAGTTGATCAGGCAAACATTCTATTCTTTATTTATCAAGATGTGAGCTCCAAGTAACTTCAAGTTTAACTCCTTAGTGCCAAAAAGTGAGAAAGTCAGACCTATGGGCAATCCTTGGCAATGCTTGTGATCAGGCATGATAATTATTGGATTTAAACAATATTATGCCAATGCATTAAGGCAGGTTACATAACTGCCCATTTCCTTTAGGATTAATTATTGTTTCATTGTACATTGTAGACAACCATACTCCCATACACACACATACCTACAAAACAGCAGCACAGTAAAAACTAAATAGATCACTGAACTCCTACATACTTGTAATCAATACATTTCACATACTATAGAGCATTTTAACCCCATCATTGGTTAAACATATACAATTCAGAACAATAGTGACTGCATGTAACACAGAAGCTACCACTGACATATGGCAAATACATCATACACACTGTTAGCTTTAACTTCACTGAAAAGAAGTTCAGATGTTTAGAGTGGTGTTACCTGAACTCTTAAAATCACCAAACAGTATACTCAGCTGATAATACCTAGTGCTCCATATACAAGATATTCAAGATAAACAGCACTGCAGCAGTGATTTCAGGGCTCTTCACTTTGATATTGTATAGTTAAGCTCCACTGTTTTACATTGCAGCACAGCATATAGCTACCACACACTGATTAGCTGCTCTTCTCTCATCCCGGGGTAAAAGTAACTACTTTTAGGTTAGTAGAAATGGTCTAGATTTGTATCAGTATGACAGAAAGACTTAGCCCAGCATATAGGATCATACATTCCATCTCACTCATGTATGCACATATATATACACGCATATATGTATGTTTAAAAGAATGGCTTGAAGCGGCAAGACCAACGGAACCAATTATGTAACCAACAGCAAAGGAATACAAATAACCCACTGTTATATATATTTTAAAACTAGGCTCCTGTGGTCTGATTATGATCTTATCCCTCCCCACACAAGGCAGAAATCAGACCCCAGGACCACATACTGTTTGGTCCAAATTGCTGCAGGTAGGATCAGTAAAGTCATCTCAACCTGTGTAAACTGAAAAATGGAGCCGGGTAGGCTTACATCAGCTGAGACACTGCACGTGTTGCGCAGCACAGTCTCAATTTTTCAAGTATGGCTGAAAAGAAACGATCAAGTAAGATGCGAAAATGTCAGAAAACAGCACTAGTTGATGCGTACACAACGAACATAGTGAGGAGAAAAATGAGTGGAGAAAGAAAAAGGTGTTTTGGAGGAGAATGACATGACAGTTTGAGTAAATATATGCTTATGAAGATCAGTACTGTAGACAGGTATTTTTTCCTCTGATGGGCTGATTAGTCACCTAATTTCCCATGAAGGATTCCTCATAATACAGGTGTCGAAAACTCCCAAACGAATCAGTTCAGAACAATGTATCTGACCTAACCTTGCAGGCTCATTTCTGAGAGTTTTAGCTTTATACGGGTGCCAAAACTGGGTTCCTGAATGGTCGAGTTGTGCTGCATAGTCCTTTCTGGCTTGTTCTTTTCCACTTAGATCTCCCAGACAATACAATCAGGGAGTGCATCCCCATCAGGACTTACAGTTTTGTGGCCTCGCAGATGAAATCCCCAGAAAAGCATTGATAGCATGCCCCTCCCCACCCTTGTTTTAGCAATTAAGGCAAGTTTGTTTACCTGTCTTTAACATAAAGTGCTGTGCTTCTCCAACAGAAAAGAGACCGACAGCTAAGTGAAAACATATTTTTTCTGACCAAAAGTTAACATTTTCTCTTTTTTTTTTTTTTTTTTCCATTAATGGAGAAACCATTATGATTTGTTTATTACCCTTCTTGGCAGAGGATCCTTTTTTACAATGTTTTTCCGTGCTTTTATTTCCAGCACCCATATGACAATTAGAATAAGACTTACGCTAAGCAAACATTTAATAACAATGCTAACAAGCTCAGGATATCTCTATATTTATTCATATATACAGGCACACACACACACGCTTTTCTTAAATACAGCAGAACATTTGCTTCGAGCACACCTCTGTGTAAGCATAAAGCTCAGCGTGTCTGATGTGAGTTTGAGCTGGGGTTCCCAGCAGGAACTCGCTGTTATTGATGCTCTCAGGTGCAAGAGAATTTCAATCAGAATCCAACGAAAGAAGCCTAGATTTCACTCTACCCAAAGATCCAGATTACTTCATTATATTAAAAGGATGTTAAGATATTAACTCTTTTGACTATACTTAAGCAGCTGAAGGATGACAGGAAGAGTCTGGAAGCAAACAAATCCAGCCAAACAGAAAAATGAAAAGAGCCTTTCACGCCACATAGCTAATAAATAAGCAAATATTTCCATGTTTCTATGTGGGATGCCCACATAGGGTGGGTTAAAAAAAAACATATGCTCATGTTTCATTTTTTGTGTCTGTTACATAAATTTTGCTTGAACAGCCTAAGGTGACTGATACAATGTGCATCAACCCACCTAGTATCTTGCTTAGTTGTGGGTGAAAGCACTAGAGTCCTACCCCTCTTTTAATACAAAGATGGACAGTGATTCTTGGTAAATTTTTGAGGCAGTTTGGGTAAAGTTTTAATGCTGTAAAGCACTCAATTGGTTTAGATCACAGATTTCACTGTCTTATATCACTACATTGGATGTAAGAGTCATTCAATTTAGGATAAAAGATTCACCTCATACAGTCCTAACCTATATAGGAAAAAAAAGCTGCTACTGAAGGAGATGGCATAACTTCATAACAGCTGCACAGGTTTTATTTCAACCAAATTTATATTATCCCTGTACAGAAACCAAAATATTATTATGAATGTATGCACAGATGTCTTTGTATAATATACATACATTTAATTATTGTGTCATTATACTATACATACACTTCAATGTTTCTTTATAGTACACACACACACATACTTTTTCCAAGGCACACTCTCAATACAAAATAGCAGCAACTGTTCATTTCTTCTTCTTCCTAAACTAAAACCAAGAGAACCCCTGCAATCTGTCTGTAACCCACCTGCTCAATAAGACCACTTTTAATTTTCTAAACTGTGATGGTAGGTGGTATTCCTTGCCATCTGACAGAAAGTAGCAAAGGACCATATGATGCCGTTCTTTCTTCTCTCTCAATCAAAAGTTCGAGTAATATCAACAGAAACTTGACCTTAATGGGAACCCAGAAAGCCCTACAATATTTCAAAGAACATTTTCCTTGTAAGACATCAAGCATCTATTGTTTTGCACAAATGAAATGTTTTGCTTTCCAAAGTTATGTGCCTGGGCATTGATATGTTCAGGAGATACGACTGATTGCACTGTATCCAGTTAGGTGTAATACAGTGGCAGTTCTTTCATTTTATTCATCACTAAGTTTTTCATGTATTTGAGTTTTATATAAGTTCCATTAAAAGTTGCATGACTGGTGATTTTGCTGCCAGAACAGTGCCATTCAGTAGACTTCCAACCTTGTGTTATGCAGTATTATATCCCCAGAACAATATAAGGACTACAGAGTATTATTATTAGCTAGAAACTGAACTACTACACTTTTTAGTACAGCAATTTTTCATTGATGAAACTGGCACTGATCTTTTTTGCAATCAGCAGAGAAGAGTTTTGTTCGCAGCTGCCTCAAGGAAAAGCTTAGACTGCACTTATTTAAGTGTAGTTTTAGTCCTGCAGAAAGCAGGTTTCTACTATGGGACAAAATCCTGCCCACCTTACAGTACACACAATTTGCTGATCCTATCCCCAGTCCATGCTAAATACAGGAAATTTTCCTATTAAATTCAGTGGACATTGGATCAAGCTTTTACAGAAGATTAATTCTGGGAGGAAATGGTGCTCCAAGCTGGCCTAACTTTGCTCCTGCTAGAACAAGGGAAAATATGCACTGGCAGCTCCTATACAGATTTAGACCAGCACCACATATCTACCCACTTGAGCTGGGGCAGACAGTGGAAAATCCCATTTTGAGAATGAGAAGCAAGCAGGATTTAGTCTGTGCCTTATGCAAGCTACATAATATATCATGTTAACTGTCCATTGATTGTGCATGAGGCATGACTTTGGATTTACTTCACAAAGGCATTTACTGTAACTCACCGATATATACAACCAGTTAAACCAACATAACAGATGAAGTGTAGAGGCTTAAAATTTGTGGGCCAGATATACTGCCCTCAAACTCCCGGTGCAATGCTCATACCGTCGGGAATCCTGCTGTAAGCAGGCAGAGGGCAATATACATCCCACTGCTCCAAAAGCAGCAAATTTCTTGGCACTATTTGTAACCATAGAAGACACATAAATCGCATTTGGTACCTCATGGAGAACATGTAAATGGCCTTCTTTTATCTAACACTGTAAATGTGTTTAGTTTTGCTCTTCACATGAAACAAATGTAAAAAATGATCACAACTGGTTAAAACATTTTCCCTAAGCCCACCCACTAAAGCCCTAAACACCTCAGTGTGTCATAGGAAGATTAGTGTTTTACAAGACAATTCTTTTAAAATGCAATCTTTTATTTTTATTTTTTTTTTACTCTAAATGATGCAACAAGACACATATTATAGGACTATCAGGTAGTGTCATCTTCACCTCCATCCAAAACATAGTTGAGTTTTATGACTGTGCTGATAAAGTCGCCGAGTTCTACAAAATCTGCAGTGATAATATTCACACCACTTTCTCCTGGTCTCTGAGTTCTGACCCAGTGCATCATTGCAGGAAGAGCCCTAAGGAGAAAGCAGAAACAATTATTATTCATAAAGCAGTGAGACACATGCATTGAGGCAGGATTTACTCGGTCTCTAAAGGAACCATGTGGAAAAGGACACAGGATACTTAAACTTCAACAGGGGAAGTTCAGGTTAGATATAAGGAAGTTCTTTACCGTGAGGGTGGTGAGGCACTGGAACAGGTTGCTCAAAGAAGTGGTAAATGCTCCATCCCTGACAGTGTTCAGGCCAGGTTAGACAGAGCCTTGGGTGACATGGTTTAGTGTGTGGTGTCCCTGCCATGGCAGGGGGGTTGGAACTAGATTAACTGAAGGTCCTTTCCAACCCAAACCATTCTGTGATTCTATGATTCTATACTGCTTGGGTTATTTAAAAACCCTTCTTCTTATAATTTTCATTCTGTGTGGAAGTAACACGTTGATTGCATTCAACTTCTCAGAAGAAAACACTGGGAGGCAGGCTCACAGTAATTATTGATCTTGTCTAAGGGAAAGGGCATGGACCAATACCTTTTCAGTGTCATCAAACCATAGAAATTGTTTAAGGAAAAAGAAATAGCATTCAAGATATTTGCAAAGCATATTTGACACGTACAAATAAATGCTGAAAACAATATTTTGCAGGACACTGGAGCAATCATATAACTACAATATACACTGTATACCTTCTTTCCTAGTATTAATATCTTAACCGTGAACATTATAAAATCATAAACCAGCGGTTAGTAACAGAAATAAAAGGCACCACAGCCATATTGACTCTTTTCTAACATGGTATATTTTTGTTATGTCAGACCTTTAGTGTGGGAATACTTGGGTAAGCATGTCTGCTTAACTGGGTTTGTGAGTATAAAGAAGTTTTCTGACAACATGAAATTATAAATTAATGATCACAAGAAATATCTATGGGAAAACAAAGTGGTCCCCAGTCCTTCTGAGAAAGTCAAGCAGCAAGACTCCATTTCCAGAAGTCTGATGTTAACGGAGTTCCAAAAAATAAGGTACAGATTTTTCGGAGAAAGAGTATTTTTCAGAGAAAGGCCAACTGACCACTGAAACAAACTCTCAATGACTGTGACAAACTGCAGCACTTAGCCTTTAAATCCTCGTGACCTCGTGCTCACCAACAGGGAAGCGCTGGTTGAAAATGTGACACTCCAGGGCAGCCTTGGTTGTAGCGATCATGAGATGGTCAAGTTCGAGATCCTCAGGACAGTGAGAGGAGCATGCAGCAAGATCATTGCCCTGGACTTCAGGAGAGCAGACTTTGGCATCTTCAGGAGCCTCCATAGTAAGTTTCCATGGGATACAGGCCTAGAGGGCAGGGGGGCCCAAGACTGTTGGTTGATATTTAAGAATCACCTGCTAAAAGCTCAGAAGTGTTGCATCCCAACTAGAAGGAAGTGCAGCAGGAGGGCCAGGAGACCTCCTTGGATGGATAAGAAGCTGCTGAGGAAACTTTGAGGGAAAAGAGAGGCTTATAAAAGGTGAAAGCAAGGACAGGCTGCCTAGGAAGAATACAGGGATGTTGTCTGGGAAACTAAGGATCAGGTTAGGAAAGCTAAGGCCCAGTTAGAATTAACCTTGGCTAAGGATGTGAAAGAAAAAAGGTAGGAATTCTATACTTACATTGCAAATAAAAGACAGAGTAGGGACAACATGGGCCCTCTCCGGAAGCTATCAGGAGAACTGGCTACCCTGCATTTGGAGAAGGCTGAGGCTCTTAATGACTTCCTTGCCTCAGTCTTCACTGGCAAATGCTCTGAGCACAACACCCAAGTCTCAAAAGGCAGACACAGGGACTGTGAGAATGAAGACCTTAGGCCCAGTGTAGGAGAGGATCTGGTTCAAGGCCATCTTAAGAACCTGAACGTGCACAAGTTTATGGGTCCTGATGAAATCCATCCGCAGGTCCTGAAGGAGCTGGTAAATGAAGTTCCTAAGCCACTGCCCATCATATTTGAAAAATCATGGCAGCCAGGTGAAGCTCCCGACAACTGGAAGAAGGAAATATAACCCCAGTTTTCAAGAAGGGGAAAATGGATGACCCAGGGAACTACAGACCAGTCAGTCTCACCTCTGTGCCTGGCAAAATCTTGGAGCAGATTCTCCCGGAAGGCATGCTAAGGCACATGAAAAGAACAAAGTGGTTGGTGACAGCCAGCATGGCTTCACTAAGGGGCAATCCTGCCTGACCAATTTGATGGCCTTCTAAGATGGGGCTACAGAACAGATGGACGGGGTGGAGCGGTTGATGTCATCTACCTGGACTTGCATTCAAAACTGTCCCACAAGACATCCTTGTCTCTAAATCGGAGAGACATAAATTTGATGGATGGACCACTCAGTAGATAAAGAACTGTCTGGATGGCCACATGCAAAGAGTTGTGGTCAACGGCTCAGTGTCCGGCTGGAGACCAGTAACGAGTGGTGTCCCTCAGGGATCAGTGTTGGGACCGGTCTTGTTCAGCATCTTTGTCGGTGACAGGGACAGTGGAATTGAGTGCGCCCTCAGCAAGTTTGCCGATGACACCAAGCTGTGTGGTTCAGTTTATGCACTGGAGGGATACACCAGAGGGATCTCGACACGCTTGTGAGGTGGGCTGGTGCCAACCTCATGAAGTTTAACCATGTCAAGTGCAAAGTCCTACACCTGGGTTGGAGCAATCCCAGGCACAGCTACAGGTTGGGTAGAGAAGAGATTCAGAGCAGCCCTGCACAGAAGGACTTGGTGAAAGTCAAGTGGTGGTCATACATCCTGGGCTGTACCAAAAGGAGCATGACCAGCAGGTCAAAGGAGGCAATCCTGCTCCTCTACTCTGCTCTCATGACACCTCAATTGGAGTATTGTGTGCAGTTCTGGTGTCCTCAACATAAAACCAACATGGAACTGTTGAAACAAGTCCAGAGGAGGGCCACGAGGATGATCAGGGGACTGGAGCACCTCCCGTATGAAGACAGGCTGAGAAAGTTGGGGCTGTTCAGCCTGGAGAAGAGAAGGCTGCATGGAGACCTCATAGCAGCCTTCCAGTATCTGAAGGGGGCCTATAGGGATGCTGGGGAGGGACTCTTCATTAGGGACTGTAGTGACAGGACAAGGGGTAAATGGTTAGAACTTAAAACAGGGGAAGTTTAAATTAGATATAAAGAGGAAGTTCTTTACTATGAGGGTGGTGAAGCACTGGAATGGCTTGCCCAGGGAGGCTGTGAATGCTCCATCCCTGGCGGTGTTCAAGAACAGGTTGGGCAGAACCTTGGGTGACATGGTTTAGTGTGAGGTGTCCCTGCCCATGGCAGGGGGATTGGAACTAGATGATCTTAAGGTCCTTTCCAACCCTAACTATTCTATGATTCTAATCAAGCCCATATTTTGTTCCAAATATGCACTCTTAAGCTGCTAGGTTAAATAAAAGAACCTATGGACTGGGCAAGGCCACAGTCAGTTTAGCTGAACATCATGTTCTCCCTTTGCTCTAAAATCCATAAATTTGTGATTCTCCCACAGCCAGCTTTTTGTACAGCCTTTTTCACAGAGGCAAGGTACATGTGAAATGTTGGTCTGACAGCAGTTTAAATGAAGCTGAACATACTGAACCAGATCCCAAAAGCTTTAGAAATAACACATCTAAAGAAAACAGCTATTAGCAGAGTCAGATCGTAATTGCTACTGGCCACCTGAATCAGACATTTTTTTTTAAGCAAATTAGTACAGAAAAAAATACCAACCAGTTATAATTAGCCCCTCTATTTTTTTTTTTAGAGGAGATGCACAAGCCTGAGCCTTCACTTCAGCAAAATGTGCTTAAATCCACAAGATCCATGCAACACATTTTATTTCGCTCATTGATTCAGTGACCGGAGCACATGTATGTATGTACACCTGCTCATAAAACTGAGCTTAAGCACTCTGCTACATAAGAACACCTTCAGTTTAAGTTTATGTTATCCTAAAAAGCTGCACTCCATGTAACCATAACAGGCATAGGGCAGGTGTTAAATACCCAGCGATGCCTGGACTGTTTAAAAGGATCTGTGAGCACAAGAACCAGGACAGATCTCAGCAAAACAGCGTGGATCACCAAGGTGATAAAAGGCACATCAGAGCAGCTGAAAACTCCACTGCATCTTCACATGCAAGAGACACTGCTGAACAACAGACAAAGACATAAGGCTGAACCTCTAAAATGACTGTATGTTGCCTTTGTCTTTAATATAATCCTGTTTAAACACGAAGAATTTAAGTTTTAAAGGTGAACTGATTGATTGCAGGCAGGCACAGCTTTTTCCTTCCTTCCTTCCTTCTGCTTAAGTTGATACCCTTGATATTTTACTCCCCCTTGAGGCATAATTACTTTCTTTTGGTGTCCTTTATTTGTTCGGAAGCTGGTTCTGATGTAATTCTGTCTTCAGACCATAGAACTTGCTTTCTATGCATCTAGCCATATAGACTGAAATCCTGTTTTCTTTTTCCTACAGTGTTCTTATTAAGTCAGCCTTCAACAGATAATCATGCCTTCTTTTGGTTATCTTTAACTCAGTTTGCCCTGCCACTTCATCTCCAGTTAGGCTTGGTAGTTAAATGGGTAATTTACATTCTACTGATATTTCACACAGGACACAGCTGCACAACCCTTTGCTTATACAGAAATTGTTATATAAAGTCACAGAAATCTTTGTTCATGAGACTATAGAGCATTTAAAGATAAGTCAAAAAGGGAATTACATTATCCAACAGAAAGATTATTTGTGTAGCAATACCAAATAAAATAATCCTGTGAGGAAAAAAAAAAATACCTGAACAAAAGATTCCACTGACCTTAAAGATTTTATCTAGGCTATGCTTGTGATAGAAATACATAGAAAAAAACCTCATACAGATTGTCCTCCTCCTATAGTGCTATCTTGAAAGTAGATTACATCAATGACTGTAAGAATCCACGTTACTCAGTTTCAGTGAAAATACCTCACATGTTCATAAGAATTATTAGAATAAGCCTG